AGGCGTGGGCAAGGAGAGCTTTCAGATCACGATAAAGGTGTGACAGGGGCGAGGACCTCATTTAGCCTGTTCTCTCTTCAGGTGAAGCGCGGAGTTTTATGTCCCAGCGTTTTATTTCTAGATCTTGAATCAGTACTCATACATGAGGTGGCGGGTTGGTGTTTGTGTTTTATCTTTCCTGGGTTCTCACTGTCATCCGGATTTCATGAAAAAATAAATGTTTCTTCTTTCCCTGGACTGTTCCGTAGAGATTTGGAAGAACTGGTCTATGAAAGTGCATCCTGGGCCTTTTGAGAAGGTACGGATGTACTTTTAATTTTTTTAGTATTTTTTATTGATTTGAGAGAGAGAGAGGGAGGGAGGGGAAAAATAGAAATGTCAATGATGTGTCATTGGCCGGCTGCCTCCTGCACGCCCCCGCCTGGGATCGAGCCCACAACCCGGGCATGTGCCCTGACCGGGAATCGAACCCCGATCGCCTGGATCAAGGGTCGACACTCAAACACGCTGGCTGGGCAAGGATGTGCTTTTTAAGTCGCTCTTCTCTGGTTCTTTCTGTTGGTTTTATATCTTTGAGTAAATGCCAGGAAACATTTTTATTGAATATCTACTTATTCAAATTTATAAGCAAAGAACTGGGGGTAGAATTGCTATGGCTCTTTTCATCCCCTGTATTAGTGACTATTTCCTTTCACATTCTTAATTCCATGCACTTAGGATTTTGTCACTTTCATAACTAGATTTTTTTCTAAAATAGCTCTTGGATCAGTTCATCTGTTTTTAATTTATTCATTTAGGCTTTTGTTTTTATGAATTCTTTTGCACTAGTTTCTTAGATTAACTTTTTACTTCTTGAGTCAGACATAGTTCAGTGTTTATTTTTATTGACAAGACTTACAATCATTTTGGGATTTTTTTTTCTGAATATAAAAATGTTGTAAAACTTCAAATACAGAAATGTATAACCAAGAATGGAAAAATTCTTTGTAATTTGATCACCAGAGATAAACACTGTCTCTCAATAGTTTGGGGTATATTCTTCCAAATGCTTTTCAAGGTGTATGTTTGTCTCCCTTGACACACCTGGGTACCAGCAGCATTTGTATATATGTAAATACGCATATTTATTTTTTACATATTTACAGCGTGTGTCTATGTGTAGATATACTTTTTACTTAATGACCTATTTCAAGTCTCTGGGAGAGGGCAGGCCTCTCACAAACCTGAAATGGCCTGAGGGCAAGGGAAGAAGCTTGGCGGGGGTTTCTATTGTCGGTAGTGAGGGTTCCATGCTAGGGCAGGGGCTCGTGTAATTGAAATCTCCGGCTAGCACCACAGGGAGGAGCATTCAGGCTTTTTTATTAGTTTGTCCAGAAGTTGGGGAACAAGGGGAAGAGAGAAGGGTGAGGCTTAAAGGCTGTCAGTAGCCATCAAGTGGAGCCAGACTCCTCTTGGCACTATCTATGTGTGTGTATGTAGATAGGCCCGTGTATAACATACAATCACAAACCCACCCCCCACACATCCATATATATATATGTGGACACACCCACACCCACACCGCAACTGCCTTTTCTCCTTAATCTTCCCATGTCAGCGGGTGTGGATGAGCCTCGTGCTTTCAAGCAGGTGCATAGATCTCTGCTCCGCCCACGTGCCATTGTCATTAGCTTGTTTGTGAATAAGTTGCTTCCATGTTATTTCTCATTGGTTTCACAGTGGGACACTGAACATCACACACACACCTTTGTATGTGTGCAACAACTGTCATGCATTCAACAGTCATCAAGCTCTTCTACGCTCCGGGGACTGCACAAGTCAAGGCCCCAGGTTCTCTGAAGTTCCACTGAGTGGAGAAAGGACACGGGGCAGTTTACTAATATGTGAGACGTGAGGAATGCTGTGCAAACGTACAAGACCGGGAAGGAGACCGTGATGAGGGTCTGCTTTACAGGGTGGTTAGGGGGCCTCAGAGTGGCTGGCAGATGTCGAGGGAAAAGCAGAATTTTGTAGAAAAACTACTGGATAATTTTTAGATCGGACATTTCAAATTGTGATGATCTTGTCAAATTGTCTTTATTTTTTAAAAATTTATACATTCCCTGATATATTAACATGTTCTTAAACGAGCATCTGTTTCTATCCATTAGCACCAAAAGGGATATATCCTTTTCTTTTAAACCTCTTTTGATATGGTGCAAAATACATTATATCATCTTAATCTGCAATTTGTTCATTTTTAGTAAGGCTATGCACCTTTTATTACCCATTTGTATTTTTCTGTAAATTATTTACGTGATTTGCAATTAGCCAGTTATTACTATAATACAGATATTGTGGTTTGCTTTTTGATTTTACTGGCACACAAAATTTAAAATATTTTTGTAGTGAATTTATCAATTATTTTCACTTGAGTTAATGTTTTGTGTCATGTTTAATGGCCTTCACCACTTGTTTATCCATATTTCTAAAACACTGAAAGTCAATTTATGCTTAAGCCTGAGGTTAGGACCCAGCTTTAAAAAGCAACAGAACAATGCCCAGATGGTTGTTCCCAGGCCACGAATCATCCTGCTGTTTGGCTCCTCTCAACTGATTTACTACGCCCCTATTATAATAAACCAAATTTCCATAGATACTTGTATCTATTTTGGCACCAGTGACACTGCTAATGACTGAAAGTTTAACGCCTCTTAGGCTAATAACCTCCCTCAGACTCTCCCACCCTCACGCATGTTTTCAGGTTTCCTGACTTTTTGTTAATTCTTTCAAATTAACTTTAGATAGAAATGATTCTTCCCCAAAATTGATTTTTTAAAAATCCTAGTGGGATTTTGAAATCCATTAGAATTAATTACAGATTACTTTGGTGAGAATTATGTTATATAATAAAAATGTATTTTTCCATCTAAGAAATACTCAATTCTTCATGTCCCTTAATAGTTATAATTTTCATGTCTAATCCATTTATTCCTATTTTTATCATTAGCTGTGTCTCACAAACTTATTATTGTATTTTCATAACATTCTATATATTTTAATTTTTGAGACTCCCTTGACACAGTTTAAAAGCTTTGAGATTTTGCTGTTATCTTTGTTATTTATAGCTTGAACCCATTCTATAATTTTAATCCTTTAAAATCTTTTGAGGTTCATTTTATGGCCCAGAATATGGTCTGTTTGGTGAATGCTCCACGGGCTAGAAAAGAATATATATTCTGCTGTTGTTGGGCAATGTGTTGTATGTCAATTAGATTCTGGATGCTGATGGTGTTGAATAGCTTTTTAAAAAAACTTGGCTTATTTTGTATCTAGTTCTATCAATTGCTGAGAGAAGGGCACTGAAATCTCCCGACTGTATGTGGATTTATCTGTTTCTTTGTTTTTACTGAATGCATTTTGAGGCTCTTTTGTTTGGTGTATAAACTTTTAGGATTGTCTTGTTGGACTGAAACTTATTAGGTAATGTTCTTACAGTCCTTGGTCTGGGCTGATTTTTAGAAGTAGAGATTATCAGNCTGTATCTAGTTCTATCAATTGCTGAGAGAAGGGCACTGAAATCTCTCGACTGTATGTGGATTTATCTATTTGTTTTTACTGAATGCATTTTGAGGCTCTTTTGTTTGGTGTATAAACTTTTAGGATTGTCTTGTTGGACTGAAACTTATTAGGTAATGTTCTTACAGTCCTTGGTCTGGGCTGATTTTTAGAAGTAGAGATTATCAGATCTTTCATTTTGATAGTTAATCTAGAGTAGGGCCTGAGACCAGCATTTTAACAAACTTCCCAGACGATTTTTATAATCAGATATTACTCACTTGCAAACAATAGAAATTGACTTGGGTTAACTTAAAATTTATTGTAAGAATATCCAGTAACATCCCCTAGAGTGCTCAAGCCCGGCTAGGAAGCAGAGCCCTGTACCCCTCTAGGGAAGCCGACGACAAAGCAGTTGCNGCTAGAGTGCTCAAGTCCGGCTAGGAAGCAGAGCCCTGTACCCCTCCTAGGGAAGCCGACGACAAAGCAGTTGCTCTCCTAGCTGGTTGAGCAGTTTGAGCTAAACTCAACCCACCCAGGGTCCCAGAGGTGGGGACAGTTTAAAATTCATTTTTTTGGTGGTGAGAATTTTGATGTTCAAAAGTAAAAGGGGCAGCAATGGCAGAATTTAGACACAAGCCTAACTCTGGCATGGTGTGCTCATGATTCAGGCTGCCTGGTCTCTTGGTTTCTGCACACTTGCCCTTTTTTGAGGCTAGCTTCCCAGTCTTATAAATGGATTCACACACACAATATTTATGACTCCTGTTTTGGGAAATAAAGTAAAAAATGGTACCTGTTATTTGCTAGGCCAACTACAAAATAGTTAACGAGGCTAATATTATGGGCATGCCAAATGGAATGAGTTACTGGAAGGCAGCAGGCCTTGTGTAAAGGATGGGCTCTCAAACTGTCTTACGGGAACTTGGGGGCGGTAATGGCGCTGTCAGGAGTCTGCGTGCGACTTTTAACAAGTAGCCCGAGCTCGGACGCTAAGCTCATCTGTAAAGTTAGGAGGTTGAACTAGACCAGAGTTTCTAGGCCTCTCCAAATTGCAATATTCTATAACTAGATTCCTTAATTAGTTCATTTTTGTAAGATGAGTTGACAAGTACCAGGTGCTTGGCTTTTTGCTAACTTTGGGCGCAGTCCTGCAGAAACTGACATGGAGATGGCCTGTCTGAACTCGCCACTACTAGGGTGAGAGGATCCGGGCCAAAGGATGTGTCTAGAGTGGCAGAAATCCATTCTGACTGTGGGAAAAAGGTCACCAGATAGTTTTGTCACACATGAAGTGAAGCATAATGGACAAGACACATGATCTTTTCAGAGACCCTGAGATTGTATTTCTTCCAAAAAACCTTTTTCAGGCTTCACTGGTGAGTCCCTCTTTCCCCTTTGATGTGAGGATCAGTTTAGAAGTGCCTAGAGTACAATAAATCAAGTCCTCCTTTGACTTGCAGGTTCTGATGAGCACCTCACTGCTGGGGGCCCTGTGCCTCTTCTCATCGGTCTGTGTCCTATGTGCCATTTCTGCATTTACTCTCCCCATTGAGACGAAAGGTCGCGCCCTACAGGTAAGTGATGCAGGGACCTTTGGAACAAAGAACACGAACTTAAGAGATGGAAATCCTTTTAAGCAGACAAGATGATATTCCTGTGCTGACAGATATTTGTTTAGCGTGTCCAACAGAAAAACTGGGTATCCATTTCCCCCATGTAACTTTGAGAAGCACTGAAGTTCAAGTAACTGATGGTCCACTTCAGACCTCTGCTCCCCGTGGCAGTTACAGCTCGGGCCCGGGCCCGGGGTGAATGACAGCTGCTGCAGCCTCAGCACTGCCCCGTCCCGCTTTCCCACCTGGGTGTAAGCATTGCCGCAGAACTAAAGGCGGCCAGAGGAGCAGGAGCTGCTTGTTGCCTTGAGAATGACCGGTGTGTGCGCGCTGGTCCAGCTCCCTTTCCCCTGGTGTCGGCCACCCGTGCTAAGCGTCAAAGCTTCAGCTGTGCCCCCCCCC